TAGAATGAGCCGAGAGAAAGACAAATGGCCTTGCAGGTGGCTGCCCCTCGGGATTCAGGCTTTTTGGAACCATCTTTGGCACTGCAGCCGTCTCTGTGACAGCCGGAGGGAGCAAGCAGAAGGCAGAGGCCGGTGTTCCTCTTCCCTGTCATTCTATTAGGCTTTGTCCTGATCTACCGGCAGGGCTTGGGCTGTGAAACCCTTCCACACACACAAAAAAAGGTGACGCTGAGAACATTCTGGAACTAGAAAAGAGTACATCGTCGCTTCAAGAAGAATGATCGCTTTTGAAAGCCTTGACGAGCCAGAAGGGATCAGAGTAGATCCTTCACAAAGAAATGAACTCACATGTAGCTACTGAACCGCAAAGCACAAGCGTGTGGGGGCAGGTTGTGATGTTCACAATCTCAGAAATGCGTGAGATTTTGAGATAGCCTGGATTTCATTGTGAAGCGTTGAAAAAAGCTTGCTACATGATTGTAGAATGAAATATATAACACTTAACATACACTCATGGAAGTGATCTAAATATCTTTCAAATTGCCTAGGGGTGGGTGTGTGTGTGTGTGTGTGTGTGTGTGTGTGTTAAGTATCTAAGTGGAAAATTAACAAATTATATTGTTCTGAATTCCTGAGGGGCAAAAATCAAGGAATCTTAATCACCGATTCATGAAAATCTTTCAACTTTTTTTCTTTTTCATAACAACTAGAAGATTTTCAATTCTTGTTTGTTGTTGGAGATTTGCAATTCTAATGCAAAGAATTCCCATTGATTCCTTTATCTCAATTCTCTAATTGTTCAAATTTGTCCATATTTACATTTTCTCATGTGTACATACAAAGAATTTTTTAATAACGTATTTGTGTTGTTGAAATATAGACAGTAGAACTGTACAACCATAAAACATGCACACACGTACCATTTTGTAGCACTGGTGATGTCATTTCTCCTCCACAAGCATAAACTTGCTCCTCTTTAAGCTTCCTGTCTAACCTTTCGATTTGATAGGTCCATGCAGATCGTTCTTTCAAAGATCACAATTCTCAAGACAGACAGCCTAATTAAGCTCCGCTATTACTTGGTTTCTCGGGGGAAAGATGGAGCTTTCTATACTCATAAAGAGTTACAGTCTGGGAAACTCAGAGGGGCAGTTCTACCCTGTCCTATCGCGTTGCTATGAGTCAGCATCAACTCAGTGGCAGTGAGAGAGATAAGAGTTTGAGATGACTTGGTTTAAGGAGCCCTGATGGCATAGGGGGTTAAACATCGGGCTGCTAATTGCCAAGTCAGCAGTTCAAAACCACCGGTCACTTCACAGAGAAAGATGAGGCGTTCTGGCCCTGTATGGGTTTACAGCCTCTGCAACCAATGGGAGCAGTTCTGCCCTGTCCCATAGGGTCACTCAGAGTCCAAATCAAGTGCATGGCAACAAGCCTGATTTGGGTATGATTTGACCTAGGCAGCCCTGGTGGCACAGTGGTGAAGTGCTCAACTACTAACCAAAAGGCTGATAGCTCGAACCCACTAGCCACTCTTCAGGAGAATGGTGTGGCAAATCCACAAGGATCACGGCCTTGGAAACCCGATGAGATCAATTCTATGCCAATGGCTATTAATTTGCTTTATAGAAGACTTTAGAGGATATTGAGATTTGTGGTTTAAAGATTCTCATCGGGCAATTATAGGGGGGTGAGGGTGGGACCTCATCCAGCCTCAATGGCTCCAAGAAGTCTAGATTCCAGAATATGAAATTCTGCATGAATCTCTTTGCATAGTTTTCAGGAATTTGAATGCTTTCTCTGGCCTTGCATGCCTATGGCCACAGCCCTGCAGGAAAAGGCACCTTGTCAATGGAATAATACATGCCCTTTAGGCCCCCTGGGAACCTCTGATGTCAATCCAGCGAGAACGCATGAACGGCAAAGCCCGTCTGAGTTGTTGGGAAAGCTGAATTGGGAAACGCAGGAAGCAATACTCAGCGACAGCCAGAACGTATGTTGAAAAGTCACACGGCCCCACACACGGCCCCATCTCATCCCGACAAGGATGGCACTCAAGTATAAATGTCACACACATGGAAGCTCTCATCTGTTATTCTACTTACCTAATTGTATTCCAATATGAGCCGTTTTGAGGGGACTGGGAAGTTTGTCTTATTGCAAAGTTCTCTCTTCACCAAATGTTTGCTCTGAACATGCCCAAAGAGAACGGGCCTGCTATCACAGAGGGCTCTCTTGTTTTCCCTTTTAATCTTAACAGTTT